ATTTCATTACACCAAATACACAAAATAATGTTCTTTTTAGCAGCATCATATGACCCCTTTAAGAGTGAGGCATTGGGATGGGGGAGGATTTGCCGGAAAACTGTCATAGGACAGAGGTGAGTTGGCTGTGTGTATATATACATATCATACTAAATAAATTGATCAACTAGACGAGCTTCACCTGTGCTGCATTGGTTGATTATCTGATAGTGCTCCTCCCGAAACTTGTTAATAAAACATAATTTCTGGGTTGGGGAACGTTTCAGTTGCATTGCTGTCAATGGAGGGTCAGAAAGCTCTCAGATTTCATAAAAAATATCTTAATTTGTGTTCTGAAGATGAACGAAGGTCTTACGGGTTTGGAACGACATGAGGTTGAGTAATTAATGACAGAATTTTCATTTTTGGCTGAACTAACCCTTCAATTAAGCTGCCAATTTGCTGCTTATTAATAGTTAGTAAGGTAGTTTTTAAGTTCAGGTATTTTAAGTTCAGTTTTACACCCCCACGTGACGCCATCTGATGTAGTTCGTCTTCGTTATGGTACCATATACAGTTTTGGGTGTTTCATTTTTAATTTTATGAAAGCTTCAAGTTCAGTTAATTATTTGTCATGCAATACATGCAAACAGACGACGATGGATACAAATTCTCCAGGAACAGGCCTCCTCTGCCCTTTCATTCGACAACATTTCATTCATGCCCCCGTGACAATCTCGGAGGTACTGGATGAGAGTACAAAGTAAGGAATGGTGGGAGAGAACTGTTTTAATGGAATTTGATGATGCAGAATGGAAAGAAAACTTTCGTGTGTCTCGGAGAGCATTTGTAAGAGCCATGCACTTTTGTTTGCCATCAAACAGTTGACCACTGCTGTGTGTATCCTGTCGCAAAATGCAGCAAAAAGCCCTACACGAGGGTAATAATGTGATTAAGGTGTGTACATGTCTAGACTGCACTTCAATAATGCGACTAAAATAGGAATACTCCAATGTCTTAATTTGATTTGGATAGTGTGATTAAGGTGTGTACTTGTCTATACTGCACTTCGATAATGCTACTAAAATAGGAATACTCCACATGTCTTAATTCAATTTGTGTTTACTTCAAGTATGACTTTAGCTGTATTAAGGTAATCAAAAATCTCTGTTTACATGGTAGAGTATTGTCTTAATCGTGTTAATATCGGAGTATTGTTGTCCATGTAAACATACTGAATGATTTCTGAAAGATAACATGACACTGAAGACTGGAGTAATGATGCTGAAAATTCAGCTTTGCATCACAGAAATTACTTGTAAAATATATGAAAGTAGAAAACATTATTTAAAATAACTATTATTTTAGTAATATTTCAGAATATTACTGTTGTTACAGGTTTTTTTATTTATTTATTTTATTTTATTTTTGTGTGTGTCATTTAAAAAAAAAAATGCAGTCATGGTGAGCATAAAAGACTTCTATCAAAACCATTAAAAACATCGACCCCAAACTATTGAACAGTAGTGTATATAGGCAAAATAGCTAAACTAATACTATATATATATATATATATATATATATATATATACTAAAATATAGTATTCAT